TAGACCATGAGATTGTGCAACTCCCGGATGCCGTAGGAATGCTTTGGGTGTATCAAATGTCACAACGTAACTGGGTGACCATAAAGGTGCACTACAGGTATCTCCAAAAGTGTCTGTTGGGTTGGCATGAATCGAGACTGAGATTTGTCACTCCGTATGACGGAGAGGTATCTCTAGGCCCACTCAGTAATGCATCATCATAATGAGCTCAATGTGACTAAGGAGTTAGCCACGGGATCATGTGTTATGCAACAAGTAAAGATACTTGTCGGTGACTAGATTGAACAAGGTATGGGGATAGCGACGATCGAATCTCGGACAAGTAACATACCAATGGACAAAGGGAATTACATACGGGGTTAATTGAATCCCCGACATCGTGGTTCATCCGATGAGATCATCGTGGAACATGTGGGAGCGAATATGGGTATCCATATTCCGCTATTGGTTATTGTCGGGAGAGGTGTCTCGGTCATGTCTGCATGGTTCCCAAATCCGTAGGGTCTACACACTTAAGGTTCGGTGACGCTATAGTTGTAATGGGAATTGTATGTGGTTACTGAAAGTTGTTCGGAGTCCCGGATGAGATCCCGGACGTCACGAGGAGTTCTGGAATGGTCCGGAGGTGAATATTTATATATGGGAAGTCTAGTTTCAGTCGCTGGAAAGGTTTCTGGGGTTATCGGTATTGTACCGGGACCACCGAAAGGGTTCCGGGGGTCCACCGGGTGGGGCCACCTGCCCCGTGGGACCAAATGGGATGAATATGGGTGGGAACCAGCTCCTTAGTGGGCTGGTGCGCCCCCAAGGGGCCCAAGGGGCCTAGGGTTAAAACCCTAGGTGTGGGGGCGCCCCCCACCAACTTGGGGGGCAAGCACCCTCTTGGCCGCCACCCCCCCTCTAGATGCATCTAGCGGGGACGACCCCCTCTCCCCTTCACCCTATAAATAGAAGGGGATGGCAGGGCAGCCGCACCTCAGCCCCTGGCACCGCCCTCCCCCCTCCTACACCTCCTCCTCCTCCGTTGAGCTTGGCGAAGCTCTGCCGGAGAACCACGAGCTCCACCACCACGCCGTCGTGCTGCTGGAGTTCTCCCTCAACTTCTCCTCTCCCCTTGCTAGATCAAGAAGGAGGAGACGTCCCCAGGGTGTACGTGTGTTGAACGCGGAGGTGTCGTCCGTTCGGCGCTAGATCAGATCTTCCGCGATTTAAATCGCCGCGAGTACAACTCCATCAACCGCGTTCCTTGCAATGCTTCCGCTTAGCGATCTTCAAGGGTATGAAGATGCACTCTTTCTATCTCGTTGCTAGCATCTCCTAGATTGATCTTGGTGACACGTAGGATTTTTTTGAATTATTACTATGTTACCCATCAGACTAAACTTTAGAACCACATCTTGCCATTTATTGATGGGCCTTTTTTAGATTTCAGAAATTCTACATGGGCCTATCCCATTATTTATAACAGCAAGTTTGATAAATGAACATAATAATTTAGAGTTGTGTGCATTCTATGCCCATTTTCTTGGGAGCTTCTACTCCGCGCTTTCAGTACCATCTAATCCAACTAGCGCTTGCAGCAGCGTCTTGTTAAGCCGAGGTTTCGAACTCACGCCTTCGCTTTCTAAAACCACTCGGCTAACCACTACTGGTACCTAGTACTTGTAAGACAGTAGTACCTCGATCTATATTAACGACAAAATTGGATGCGCGGTTCCAAAAACTGAAAGCTCATAGATTAAAAAAAGTTCAAGATTTTTTTTTCAAAAAAGAAAAGGCTCACGTATTTAGAAAAGTTCACAAATATTGAAAAAAGTTCATGAAATAAAAAAAGATTACTAATTTTAGAAAAAAACGTGATTTTGAAAAAGTTCACAAAATATAAAAAAGGTTCAAGAAAATTGAATGAAGTTCACTAATTTGAGAAAAAAATTCACGAATTTGAAAACAATTTCTTCAATGTTTTACAAAGTTCATCACATTGAAAAAGGTTCATCATTTTTGAAAAAAGTTCATCAATTATGAAAAAGTTCATCCAAATTGAAAAAAAAAATCATCGGATTTGAAAAAGTTCATCCAATTGGAAAAAAATTCATTGATTTTGAAAAGGTTTATCAAACTTGAAGCAAAAGTTCACCGGATTTGAAAAAAGTTCACCGTATTGAAAAAGTTCAACGGATTTTAAAAAAAGTTCATTGATTTTGAACAAAATTTCATTGAATTCAATAAAGTTCACCAAATTCGAAAAAAATCAAATTAGAAAAAAGGTCCGGCGAATTTGAAATTTTCTGTTGAAAAAATGATCGCACATTGAAGAAAAAGAAAAAAGTAAAAAAGAGAAGAAAAAGGGAAAGTTTCACAAACAGAAGAGAATAAAAAGGTGGAAAGAAGGTAGATTGCGTAGTCCATCGTGTTGTTGTAGTGGTTACTGCGGTTTGCGTGTACCGAGTGGTCTCGAGTTTGAACCTCGCTCGCGCTCCTTTTTTTTTTTGATCTTTTCCGGGAAAAAAACGTAGAATGGGCCGGCCCAGCTTGGACTGTTGCAGGCGCCTGTTTGCAATTGCACTGTAACGGGAGCCTGCAGCATCAAATAGGAATTGCCCATTTTCTTACTTGGCGCCCTTCGTGCCGGGGGAGCGCCTATTCAGCGCCTTCAGCGCCGCCAAAGGCAGCTGGCGCCTACGGCAGCGCTTGCTGGGCTGGCCCACGAACGCGCACGCAGAAAAAAGGTATTATTACGCGAAAAGACATCCAAAAAAAGTGGCTCCTTGCGATTCGAACTCACGCACTCACGCTCGTCATCGAGGTTGGCCAACCAGTACACCTACTGCCTGCTAGTGATTCATTTCAACGTAGCAGCAGCACTTATTGTACAGCCCGCGCTTAGATATTGACTTATTTGTAAACATTAATAAAAACGTGAATGCATGGAAAAAAATGTGAACGAATTTGGAAAGTTGATGAAAGTGCATAAAAAGGTTGACCAATGTAAAAAAGGTTCATATATTCTTTAAAGTTCATGAATTCAAAAATCAAAGTTCATGAAATGAAAAAAAAGTGCAATAATTTTGAAAAAACAGTTCACAACAATGAAAAATGACCATGAGTTTGAAAAAAGTTCATGGATTTGAAAAAAAGTTCACCGAAATTTGGAAAAAGTTCATCAAATTTCAAAAAGTTCATCAGATTTGAAAATAGTTTATCGAATTTCAAAAAAGTTCACCAACTTTTCAAAAAAGTTCATTGGATTTGAAAAATAGTTCATCAATTTTGAGAAAGTTTATCGAATTTGAAAAAAAATCATTGAAATTTAAAAAGATATTATCATATTTGAAAAAGTTCATCGAATTTGAAAAAAAGTTTGCCAATTTAGGAAAAATGTTTACAAATTTTTAATAAGCGCGCATTAAAGAAAACAAAAAGAATTAACAGAAAAGGATAAGGAAAAAGTAAAAGAAAAAAAACAAATGGAACTAAAGAAGAAGTGAAAAAGAGTACAACGGTTATGTAATTGCATCGTAGCTTGGTGGTTGGAACGAACAGTTCGCCTCGGATAGGTTGTATGTTCCAAATCCCATCGCTGCATTTTTTGGGGATGGTAAATTACTAGATGGGCCGGTCCAGCGGGGGGCGCTGCAGGCGCCCGTTTGCAGAATGCACATTAACGGCGCCTGCAGCGCCAAATAGGAAATGCCTCGTGCCAGCGGGGGGCGCTGCGGGCGCCCGTTTGCAGAATGCACATTAACGGCGCCTGCAGCGCCAAATAGGAAATGCCTCGTGCCGGTTACAAGCTATTCTACAAACAGGCGCACACCCCCCTTCGGCCTGGGGTTGGCCCATTTATGTTTTTTTGTTTCTTTAAACTTCAAAAAATGTTCGTACGCGGACTTCAACCCCTAGACCTCATATTTCAGTACTAGCTGTGATAGCCAACTGGGACACCTCATAGTTTCGTGTCTACCTGCTGTTTTTTCTATTCTTTGTTGCGCGTCAACTTCTAACCCTGAAAAGAACACTCTGGGTTTTTTGTGGCCTGTTTTTCGTCACTTGTTACTCTTTTTAACCTTTTTTCTTACTTTTCAAAAAATTCTGAAACTTATAAAATTTAAAACTTTCTTCAAATTCGTGAACTTTTTATTTAAAATCCGTGACTTTTTTTTCAATTCTTGATTTTTTTAAATCAATGATTGTTTTTTCAAATTCATGAACTTCTTCTTTAAAATTTATGATCTTTTCTAATTTGTTCACTTCTTTTCAAAATCGATGAAAATTTTCAATTTTGCAAAGTTTTTCATTTTATTATTAACTTTTAAATTTGCATTTTTTTAATTCACAAAATTTTTTCAAATGGATGAACTTTTTTATAAAATCTGTAAACCTTTTTTGATTTCACAATTTTTCTAAAAAATATTAATAAACCGGCCGTTTTTTTTTATACCAGACCAAGAGCAGAAAAAACGAAAAAAAAACTAGGCTGCAAAGAGAGCGGACGAAAAGCTGGAGCGAACGGGGGGAAGGCCAGCGAACTGCTGCATTGCTGTGTCGCGGCCCGCTTGGGCGCTCGTGAGCGCCAGCTCTCCATTCTATGTCTCAAAAAAAAAAAATCTCCATTCTATGATGCAGAGGTCTGAGTATAAACCCTCTTTTTTGGAAAAAAGAATGCATTCCATCATCCAATACTTTACGTTATACTCCCTCTGTCCGAAAATACTTGTCATCAAAATGGACAAAAAGAGATGTATCTAGAACTAAAATACATCTAGATGCATCCCCTTTTATTCATTTTGATGACAAGTATTTGCGGACGGAGGGAGTACCAGACGCACTTACAGCCCATGATGCCTTGGCTACAGCAGCAGCATCTTCACTGGATCTTTACATATATGTACAGTGTTAATTAAGCCATATTTGGACGCACACTTAATCTGAGATGTCGTCCTGGTTTGGGAATTCAGCTAACTGGGACAGTGAAATAGACGGACCATCTCACGGAACCAGCACTATGTGCAGCTCCCCACGACGGCGATTTCGTCTTTGAGGGACTTCCTCTTGCCCTCGTGCTTGCTCCCAGGTTTTGCAGCCTTTTTCAGTGTCTGCAGCAACATCAGTTAGTAAACCAAACGTAAGAACATAGATAGATACAGGCAGTAAAACCCAATACGCTGACCTTCTTGAGGAGTAGGTCCGTGTGCCTCTCCATCTCCCGGATCTGCTCCATGGTCATGCCGTACCACTCGTCTATCCACGCGAAGCACAGCCGGTGGCACGCCAGAAACAGCGCCCTCTCCCCCTGCACGGTATGGAGCGTCAGCTCTGAGCTTCTCAAGTATTGACGCACGTTCTGCCAGATTCAGATCAAGCGGTGCGCAGTTTGACAAGATATGCAGTGCAGGTACCGCGATGAGGCAGTCCTCGAGCCGTTCGCCCAGGCCCCAGATGGGAGCATCCATGACCACCAGCTTGTATATGGTCATCACGGGACGGCATGAATCCTGAAACGAATGTAACAACCCATGTACAGTCAAACTTGACAGTAGCAGTACACATAGATCTCTGGTTCAGAATCTGCATACCATCCACCCATTCAAAAGAGGGCCTCGGTCCGTCCGTTGGGACTTGAAAGTTGTGAGGTCAACTTTTGGAGCAGTGATCACCTTGCTCCAGTAGTCCCGCGATACTGACGCGATGTCGACGATCTCCACCTCTCTTGCAGCTAGCTGCTGGCTGTTTAGATTGTGCGCCTGGTTGTAGTGCAACCTTAGTGTCGTTTCCTTTCGTCCTAAGGACTGAAAATGACTAGGAGGCAACTGAATGTGCTTACATTTTCAGAGGAGCCGTTGTCAGGTCTTATCACAGTGTCAATCGTCAGTGAACACTTGCTAAAAAGCGGGCACTGCATGATAGTAGCAGATAATCAAGAATAATTAAGTTAGTTTGGGAGTGCTGGATGAACGGAGGTATGTAGGATTCGAAGACATAAGGGTTTCTCTACTTCGTACTACCTTGATCACTGACGAGGGTCAGAGCAGCATCCATGGCAAACATGAAAAGGAAGGGGGATACAAAGTTACAAATGGAACTAGTTTATCAAGAATTGATAAGTGTGTAATTATTGCTAAAATATGATTGATAATTGGTAAAAAAAAAACAGGCCGTTTCTAACCTGTTCTGCTCTTTGGATACGCGGACCACGAGTCCTCATGCACAGCCAGAGAACTCGCGGATGCAAAGCCCTTCATCCAAGATGGAATTTTGCTGCACACAGTTTTGAAGGGAAATAATTGCTCCTAGTTCATTCAGTAATCTGTTACTCCTTAGCATTGCTAATTACAACCTTTGATTTTTTACGCCTTAGCATTGCATTGCTAATTAACCAATTATTCGCTTCCGGTGCTTTTTCATACCTTTCATGATCATCTAGTAATGGCCTTAATTCTAAATAGGCATACTTTTATGTTTTCTTCTTGAAACAACTTAGGATGTATTATCACTATCCCCGTAAAAAAAAGTATTGTCACTACAAAATCTGTGAAATTTATCATGTCATGAACTAGTATATATACTTACAAAAAACAAAACTAGGTGACTATATATATGTCCTAACCTCTGCAAATGATAAACTTTCGAGGTGAATTGGCCCTCGCCCAGTTTCTCATCCTCAAAAGGGACCTGCTGCAGCACTTCCACGCCCTCCTTGCCATTTGTGTTGTGCTGCTCCATCTTGATGATGGTGTAGCTGAGCCCTATCTCATACTGCAATACAATAATCGACCGGTCACAGCTCAATTACCATCTCACAACAGCAAAACACTAAAAAGAACTTCTGAAATTCTTTCTTTAGTGGTTCTTCGTACCTCCTCCATCGACATAGGCATGATGATTCGGCTTAGTGCAGGATCATAGTCAAGGTCCGGCAAATCGACAAAAGCACGTGAGTAAACAAAATGAAAATAAAAGCAGGAGATCATGTACACAAAGCGGTATTGCATGAACACAAATACTCCCTCCGTTCGGAATTACTTGTCGCAGAAATGGATGTATCTAAACGTATTTTAGTTCTAGATACATCCATTTCCGAGACAAGTAATTCCGAACGGAGGGAGTATCTTTGATAAAAAGGATACAATTCCTTGATCTGAACCATGGCGGAAGCAGTATCGAGATGGTGGCTGGGGGCGGGTTTGGTGTTGGGAGGACGAAGATGAGACCTTTTTCGAAACCGCAAGGAGGAGAACTCTTCTGCCCGTTTCCCAAGAAGACAGTGGAGGAAGAGTCGGGACTCGGTAACAGCTATCCAATTCCTGTTTATACTTCTTCCACTTATGACCCCGAACAGATGCGAAATCTGATAATGGGATAGCACAACTTAAAACTGGAAATTTATGTCAACTTACAGTGGGAATCTGAGGTTTGAGGCGGGCGAATGTGCGAAGGATCCTCTCACGGGCAGGTCTCCATCAACAGGGTTGTGACTTGTGAGGTGGGTAATTTACGCACGTCAGGGGTTGCCTTTATGTAACGTATCTTGCAACTTCTGGAGAAGAAGATGCTGGCAAAATCCGCCTGGCCGCCACTGCAATTGTGCCCACCCCTTTGTATTGCTGTCCCGTGGACCCGGCCAGGGGAAAACACTTGGCCAGGAGGAACCTATGTGGCTTCAAGAAGCACCGTTCCGTCATGCAGATCATGGAGGGTGTTGACTACCTGATCTAACGGATGTTTTTTAAAAAAAAAACTCATCTCACGGACTCGCAGACACATTCCGCAATCACCTCATTGATTCATAAATTCATGGTTTCTTTGTGGGTCGAAAAAGTACCTTGCATGTTGTCCCGATTGCCTTTGAGTGCAAGGCCATCGTCGTGGTCGTGGCTCCAATGGTTCAGATCATACTCGAGCTTCAAGACTTGTGTGCGAACTTTGTGCATCGGTATCCGTGACGCATCCAGACAAAATGGATATTGTTGGGGCCGATGCGGTGGCACCTGCAATTTTCTAAAGACTAGGTGAATGCCCGTGCGTTGCACGGGCACATATATTCTAGTTTTTTTTTTTGCGAATGAACATATATTCTAGTTGCTTATTACTATTCATGCCGAACATACACCTTTAAGTTCTAATGCCCTTTAGGTAATATTTTCAATCTTTCTACCGCCAAATCAGTTTTCTTCTTATTCCTGTTCTTCCTCCCACTGTCTCCGCCTACAATTCATGCTTGCCACCTACATTGATACGGCTTGTTCTTTGAGTCACGAATACCATTCTTCAAAATAAATTTGTCCAAGGAAAAAGCCCTGCGTAACTGAACCCAGAGACTATTGCTGAAGAATTCTTCAAAATAAACCAAATGGCCCATTATACCCAGCATGTAAGGATTATTTGGGTTTGTTTAAATATCACATGTATATTACGAAAAAGTTCATCAACTAAGCATCCGAGGTTACATGTCTACCTAGTTCCAGTAGAGAGAACACAAACTATCATGTTAGTTTTCATCCAAGATATCAACATTATTTATTTCCTGCAAATATATTATTACACACCATAATTTAATTCGAAGTAAAAATATATAATTTTGAATAGACATTAAAACGCATCCGTTTTACTCGCTTTTCAGCATAAGGAGTTTAGGATAACACGATTAGTCCATGGTGACAAAGGAGAAAAATGTTTTTTTGCTCTATTACATGACATGCAGCCGTTAGAAGTAAAATACGGATTGACATCACCTCCATTGCCTTTGAGCGGACGGAAAGGAAGGCCCCAAAAATTGATGGATCTAAGGAGCCAATCTCAGGCTAGCTAATCTGCTGATCATCTCCTTATGATACTACTCGAACAGTAAGTATTTTGTAGCAGAAATGAGAAATATAACTCAGTGAAGGAGCTACAAAGAAAAGGGTGGGCGGACGAAGCTAAAGGACAATACAAATTTAAACCATTTATATAGTGCTCTTCCTCTGTAAAGTAATATAAGACTTTTTAGATTACTAATCTAAAACATCTTGTATTAGTTTATATAGGTAGTATTACAGTAGACGTACACTCAACTGTAAACACAATTGAGTGAATTGTTTATGCTACCAACTGAATTTTTTGTTAAACCATTGTGTCTTTTCATAATCTGCAAGAAACAAGGTCACCGAACAAGATCTTTCATAATTTATCTATGGTAACATAGAAACATACACAATAACCTAAGTAAAATTTAGGGGAAAGAAATTGGGAATTAACCACAGAAAATTACCTGTGGACAGGATCAGATTCAGAGAAGGAACTATGTTTGCTGGCTTGCCGCTTTGTGTAGCTTGCAAATGATTCAAGGAAAAATGAAGCGGATCAGATTCAGAGAAGGAACTATGTTGTTGGCTTGCCGCTGCTAGCTGCGTGCGGTTCCGCTCCACGGAATTGAAATGTCAAGCCGCATTGTGGCGTGACTACCCCCCCCCCCTTTCCCCAACATTTACCTTGTTTCAGTGGCTCCACCATCTCCATAGTATGCATGTAACCAGCATGTTTTGACCTTCCGACAGGTCTGATACTGTGTACTACTTCTTTAGGATCCATGTGGATGTAGTCCTAGCTCTAAACTTCTCCATGGTTCCTTGACTTTCTTGCAGGTTGTCCTTATCTAATCTTTTGCAACACACATACATCATGTCACAATATTCATGTACGCTCCACGAAGAGTCTCAAAGGGAAAGTATTATGGATTAGCCTCCACAAGAACTGCTGCAGTTGGTTGACATGGTATCGCCCAGTTTCTTTTCTCAGTGATGCTTGTTACCGAGTTGTCACTTGTTGCGGGGGATAGTGACATGTGTAGACGAACCTGCAAAGTGCGAGATTGCTCGGAAATTAAAATGGCATCAGCAGCACCTACTCCAAGTGAAAATAAATTGGACGTTGATCAAGTAGAGGTTGATGCAGGTGGCGTCGTCGCCATGGACGCCCTACAGCAGTAGCTCCTTGCCGTATCACCAGTCGCCACACCCTACATCAACAACCCACAGGCTACAGCACAACAAGAAACATATATGTTCAGAAATCAAGAGTCCATCACGAGATCGACCTCAAGAATGGGGGAACATGCAGGGGAGCATGATTTGGGAGGGAGAGGGAGAAGAATGGGGCGTGGTCGGCGGCCGCATCGACTCAATGTCCACCTGAGGATACGAGCCCGGCGGCGGCAACCTCGGGAGGACATGAACTCTCGCCCAGCCTCTCCTCGATGCAGCAAAATAGCTCCTGGCGGCAACGGTGAATCCTTGGGTGTCGCACAACGGTGACATTGGAGCGTCACTGGCAGGAACTGACGGGGAACGCGCGTCCTTCTGTCGTCAGCCAGATCGTGGAGCCTGTGGCGGCAGCCAGGTCACAGGTGGGATAAGGCAGGGAATCAATTGGCGTCTATTTTTTAGGAGTGGTTTCCATGTGCAAAATCAACGTGGGAAGGACGGGAAGAAAAATCAATCAAGTAAAAATCAATCGCGCGCGGGTGCGGGAGGGCTTGACGAAACTAACGACCTAAGAGGGGAGACGGAACCTTACGGTTCTTTTAAGTAGTAGAGATAAAAAGGAAGCAAGGGCCAAACGTAAGAAAGGTAGTGCTAACCCTTAGATCAGCCATCTTGAAGTTGAAAACAGATAGAAGCAAAAATATGAAGGGTGACCCTAGAAAAAAAAAGACACATATGGTTAAATGATGGAGGCTACTCAGCTCTTTGGGTAGTCTTCCTAGTTTTGCATTGTCCATTGTCATTCTCGTTGTGTTTTCCTTCGCTTGCATCTGTCATTGGGTATTTTTGTGTGGAGACCTCCTATACCGCGCTTCAGGCGCCGAATTCCGCTCCTCGCGCTCGTGCATAGCATGTATGGGTTAATACCCAATAACGAGCGAACGCTGGCTTGCCTCGCACGCTCGATCGATGGATTCCTTCGGAAGCGTCTGCTATTCAACCGGTGGATGGTTGACCGTTGACCTGTTCACTTTTCACCAAATATGAAAATAAATCATAAATTTAAAAAAACTCATGAATTTAGAAAAAAGTTAATAAAGTTCCAAAAAAGTGTATTTGGAAAATGTTACAAATTTGAGAAAAAGTTTAGGAATTTGAAAATGTTCGTGAATTTGAAACACTTCATAAATTAGAAAAAGTTTGCGAGTTTTAAAATGTTAACAAATTTCAAAAGAAATCATGGATTTGAAAAGTTGTCAACGGATGTAAAAAACGTTCACGGATTTGCCAAAATTGAGAGCGGGTTTCAAAAAAGTTTGCGAAATTGAAAAAAGTTCATGAAATTGAAAGAAATGTCAGTGAATTTGAAAAATATTTATAAATTTTTAAAATAATTACAAACTTATGAAAAAATGTTCGGAATTTCAAAAATCACCAATTTGTAAAAAATAAAATGAAAAAAGAAAACAAAAATAAAATTAAAACAAAGAAAAAGGGGCCAAAAGCTTCCAAAATTGGCCAAAAAGCAAAATAAAAGCAGAAGTCGTTCGCATTATATAGGCCGACCCAGTAGTCACGAAAGTTATGGCGGGGTCTGAAATGCGTACGGTTACCCAAGTAACAGCAAAATCACTATAAGGGTTATCCTTGCAAATGTCACTCCCCACATTCTCACATGCTGACAAGTGGAGACTGCATATGCGTCACTGTCGCAACCTTGGAGTTTCCCTTTTTTTCATCGACTCATTTATTCAAAATGTTTTCTCTCTTGACCGTGTGTCCAAATACCAAACCATTTTCACCTTTTGATTTCTCGCGTTGAGATCTTTAAAACTAGATCCATGCTAATAGGTTTCAAAGATCTTTCTTCCGCAAAAACCTAAAAACTCCATGAAAAGACAGTAACCGAATAGAAGGAATACCAAAAAATATGGCCACAGAAGAGAACGAATAAACAAAAAAATAGAATCCAAAAGCACGGTTGTGGTTTTCATTTTTTGTAAGCATGGACTTGATTTTTCCTTTTTTTGGGGCAAGCGGGGGTTGTATTTTTTTCCTTTTTCAGTAGAAGCACACGTTGTACTTTTCGTAGAAGCACAAACTTCTTCTTCTACTCGAAGAGGAAAACTCGTAGAAAAACAGGTTGTGCTTCTCTTTTACAGTAGAAGCACAAATTCCCTTCTCG